TAATAATTTGGTATGGATAAGATCATAATTTTATTAAAATCAATTGAATCTACTCATGCTGGTGAGTCACAGAGGATGATATCCTATCATGCCATGCCTAAACTGTCATTCATGTGAAGATGATGTCTTGTCATATCATGTGCTCTTGAGCACTGACTGCAATCACTGATGACTATCAAAAGTAGCCTTAAAGTCTCTTCTTAGTTCATTACCTAAACAATTGTTATGCCACAGCTAAGAGTGTAGAGAGTTCACTCAAATCATGTATAGCATACTTCTAATTTTTCTTTTAACCCAATGAGACAGGGTGGCAAGACTACAGTGCCATGCCCACTGTAATAAAAATTTTACCTATTGTCTTTACACATAGATAGTTCTTCAAGTACTTAGTCACCAAGGAGTCAGCTATTAGTCCTACCTATCTCATATGTTTACATTTTTTCTTATTTTTTTAAAGATTCACTTCTATTATATAATTGTATTTGATGTTATTAATATCTTAATAACAATTTAATACTCATAATATCAATATGAATGATGAGAATGTCAATATTAGTAGTACTGGAAAGAAAAATGCATTTTCCTGCCAATTCAGGGAATGGAGAAATCAGGACTGGCTATATAACAAAACTCACTAAAATCTAAAGGAGATGGTACATAAGCCCGCTGACTTTGGGTTAAGTGACAGTACTGTGCTTGGAAATACTCTTGTGACTATATATTTACTTATATTTACATTATCAATAATAATAGAAAAAAATAAAAAATATCAAGATACTACAATATTAATAATCACAAGATAATGCTACCAGCCAAAACATATTGCTTATATATCATAGTAACAATATAATATACCCATCATGACATGAAAACATTCAAATGATATAATTTTAGACTAATAATCACATCACTATGCTCCAGACAATAGAATTATAAACTAAATCACGCAAAAGCACTTTGGCAAACCTTAATTAATGGAGCTCTGATCTGCAGAATAACAATGGAATGTTCCTCAACTAAATGGAGGTCTGCACTTGTAGTAACTTCTTTGCTATTGGGATTGTAGGGATCTCCACCAACCATGGCATGTATGGCTGGGTGGTGGACAATGCCGATCTGAAAGGAGGAAAGACAAATATAATACAATAAAATAAAATAAATCAAGGCATTCTAGACCTATAGATCAAAAGATAATTATATCAATGGATGGAAATTTGGATAACTCATCATTGTCTAGGTACTGGCCCACATTCAGGGTAGGTCCAGTCTGTCTCTTCTTACTGGCTTCTTTCAAGCTTGCTGATCATGAGGACCTACATGCTCTAAGCATTTTTGTATCCTTTTGCCTTTTCCCAAGTTGTCTAGGTCTACTAGGTCCCTTCTTAACCACAACATGGATAGCTCTGCTGTGCTTAATCTCCTTGACCTAAATGGGCTATGTCTGTGGCTCTGTCAGTAGAATAATGGGTCACTTTATGGTCTTGCTCCTGTTTTACATCAAAGTAATAAAGCTAAAGTGTAATTTTTCCCATATATGTAGCCAGCCAAAGGTAACAAGAGTTACTGGTTATAAAATGCATAAAATATGATGCATAAGAATGTTTAGCTATGTGTTGACTACCTCTTGCCTGAGCTAAAATGCTGATGGATGTCAACTCCCTGTCACCTCCAGGCTGAGCAATCTGTACTTCTTAGCAAGGTTTTCCATCTATTACCCTTCCCAAACACCTCTGTTACTAGAAACTGGTAATATGGATGAGTTAAGCCTTAATGACACCCTAGCTAGAAAGAACAGAGCCCCACAGAAGAGTTGCTGTCCACTCTGGTAAGACAAAACACAGAACTTTGCCTGTTTCTATCAAGGCATTGAGATTTAAGATGCCAGTGATTATTTTGGTCTCCCTCATGTTGCCCTGGCCTTCAAGCCCCTTTCCATCATGGGCTTTTCAATCTATATTAGCTCATGCAATATGAAATCAGTCCACCAAACTGAAATTTCAATAAATAGTACTGCTAAGAAGGAGAAGTATATATAATGTCAAAGCTTAAACTAAGACAATCAAGTATACACATTCGGTCAAATTCCTTTAGTCTTGAATTACATAAAAATAAATATTATAAACATACCATAATAGTAATGAAAGGGACTTTAACCTCTTGTAGCCAGGATCATGCAATGTTCATCATGGTTTTGTTTTATCATTCACTGATTTATTTTTCTACAAAGATGGTTCCATAAGTGCTTTCACTAAAGAGTTAATTACTAGGCCTGAACTCAACTGTTTATCCTTGAACATTCAGGAGAGAAAAAGTCTTTACTTTATTACTGTTATTACATAAGGAACATTATCATTTCTAGCACCAAAAGCAAATTAAACATTACCTTTTTTGTGGGCAATGTAGATATCAGTAGATCAATTGTCAGCTGACCGACATTTCCCACACTCACAGATGGCTGAAAAATAATTAAAAATTTACTGATTTTTCCAAAATCAAAAAACAAACAAATAGATATAAAAGTATACATAAATATGTATATATTCATCGATGTGCATAGGTGGGGATACAGAGGAAAGGACAGGGATTAATGGATGGATGGATGGATAAGTTGAGCAGTGAACAACCGGGGGAACATTTCCATCTCCTACCAAAGGAAGAAGTCTATAAAATTATGAATTATTCTATTTAATAACCTGATAATTAATTCTCTCTATATATCATTTACTTCCTTCTATATGAATGAACACACTTTAATTTGTACACATATTTGTAAACAAACGGGTACATCCAGTTGACTTCTAAACATTTTATGATATCATAACTGCACAATATTATTTAACAAATTATGAATGACTAATGGTCAGAAGGATGATAATCTCTGCATTCAGTTTAGATCTAGATTTTGTTTGTATCTATTAATGTATTCTTGATAATGATCTAAGAAGCCCTATATACATAGACACCCTGATAGCTAGTGTGGGCATGAAATATACCATGATAATTGCAGTGTAAACTGAAAAAAAAACAAGACATTTATAAATAATGCCAACATCACACACATAATAACTCATATGGGTATTATTGGATATGATGCCTAACACCATAAATACAGAATGTGAGCTTAGCTAGTAGTAGAACATACCATTCTATGAAAGATAATCAAGGTAATAAAGGTGTAAAATCCAGGAAATGCAGCAACTTTATGCCTCCAGCACCACAACAAAACGACAAAAAAGTCATTGAAAGCAATGGAAAATTGGATGGATTTGTAGTGCATGACATATGGGAGGGAAATCAAATGAGCCAGTTAGATTTGCACTGGAATGTGACATGACCATAGGCACTGACATCAAACACAATAGAACCAATGAGATATGAAATAGATTATCACATGGCAATAGATGCCTAGAGGAAGGTAGTTGAAATTCAAATCAGTTCCATCATGGCTTGGCAGTGTGTCAGGTATGATAGCAACTATATTGATTTCATTGTAAAATACCATCAAAATGACGACATGAGATTATTATACCTGTGAAATTAGGGTGTACTGCTTGAACTGTAAGACACCGTGTCATTACAGAAAAGACAGACACCAGTCCATCATCAGCTCTTTGTTGAGGCCATGAAACCATACCTTCCACTGTCTGATAAGAAACAGTGGAGAGTGATCACAATTCCTGCTAACAACAACCCAGAAGACCTTGACAATCCCGGTGACAAAAAGCCTTAGAGTTAATGCTTACAATAAGGGATGAGTAAACCTGTTACTGGGTCTGGGTTCTCTCCTGCTGGAACCTATGACATAAAGGACCAGGTGGGGGGTGGGGGGCATTAACTCCCAAAAAGGGGATTTAAAGGGACGAAGCCCACTATGAATGATGAAAACACTCTACCGTGTTGATACTATGGTAGAAAAAACTCCAACAATGACAAGCAGGGTACATTCTGGCAAGATATTCCTAATTTGATGACTAATCACAGAGGAGGTCTTTAAGGTTTGACTTTGTTACAATACACGTGGTTACAGCTCGTTGGCATTTTTCTGGAAAGTTCACAATGCTTCGCCAATCTACTTACCATTAATATAACTGCTATAGCTTACCTGCAATTAATAAAAATACTACGAATGGATCACAAAGCCACAACCAATCCATCCGCACCCCTCGCCTATCTGAGAAATCCACCAAGTCATAAATAAAAGTATTATTCCATAAATTATCTTCCTCCCTTGAACTGAACATGAAAACTCCATTAACACAAATACCACTACTTAACCACACTAAACCACCTAAATATCTATTCATATCGCCTCCAAAACACGTAAAATCAAACTCCACGTCCTTACTACGACGAGTGTGTAGCCATTAAGCTGTTTTTGATGAATTTTGTCGAGGAATATCATGTTTTTCTCACTTGGATGACAGGCAATGTTGTTGCCGCTGCGTCCAACACTGCGGCCGCGAAATCCCAAATAAGAGTTTATATTTTTTGGTCGTAATTTGCTTGCCGTTGTGTATATCTTAATTATTAAAAGGTCTTATGAGCTTTAAAGTCTTCTCGGGTTAATAAAGTGAGTAATCTTGAAGTTGATTTTGGATGTTATGATAATTGCTTAATTTCCCTTATTATTTGTACAGTTTTTTTCGGCGTGAGATTTGCTTATTTGTGCATTTCGATGCCGGATATGATTCATTTTAATCAAGGGAGTCTCATTCCACTACCCACATTAAATAAGATACGGCTGATATTAGATAGTCCTATGAATTTAAGGCTGAAATTATTTTAAGGATGGAATTATTTTAAGGATGAAATTATTTTAAGGATGAAATTGTACGTCTGGCAGCGGGGGATAAGTTGCGCAAAGGAATAGGCAGAATAGAAAGATTAGAGATAATTGTTAAATATTCTAAGAGTATTTTTTCTTGCGATACATAGATGGCGTTGTACCAACTGTCGCATTCAATATACTTGATCATTTCTATTTTTGGAACGAGTAGCATGGCTCAGCTGCTTCACTTATTGCTGAGATTGTGCTATGTGTTGGATTCTTCTTATATATAAATAAGAGATGCGTTGCTTCAGGAGAAAAAAGTAACTAGAAATAATAAATATGGTGCATTTTTGGATAGGAGTAATAGCAAAGTACAACGTTTTTTTTAAGTAATAATCATCCAATTAGGTAACTTATTTGGGGGGTTTATATATGTGATCCTATAGTAGCCTGTTAACTTAGATACACAATATATATTTCCCCATTTTTGGCTCACGTAGTGCCAGATTCCTTAACCGTTACCTGATGGGTGACAAATACGCTGAAGGATATCATTACTCTACTTTTAATGGTTTGAAAGCTTTAACTAGACTTTTAAACCCTTTAACAGTCATTACCATCCCACAAATCTTCGATGAAGCACACAAAAACAAAATCCCGAAATACCACCAAAGATTTCCACTCTTAAAACATCTTCCCCCGACGTCAATAGATGGCGCTGAACACACACACCCCAACCCCCGAGAGTGAAAAAACAACACTTGGCAACTTTCCCAATATTCCACGTTACCGGACATCCTGCTCAGTTTCCCTCTCCTCCGTCCCCGTTGACACCCAGACGAAAGTGGAATAAGAGGAGAAGAGGAGAAGGAAGCGAGGAAATCGGATAAATACGGATGTAGGAAAGTGATAAGAGGTGATAAGAGGCCATGGCTGCCGGGGGAACCGTCTTGCCCTTCGTCAGGGGGATCGACCTGACCAAAAATGACTTCAGGGTGAGTGCGGGAGGATTGGAAATTCGTGTTGTTTTTGGGGGGCTGATAATCGTTTTGTTTTGATTTAATTTTTATTTTTATTAGCTTTCTCTCTCTCTTATTTCCCTCCCCAAGTACGAATTGATATCCACGGAGACAAAAGCTTCATTTACGAAAAAGGGTTTATTTGTAGGTCATGGAAGCGCTGACCAATTTTCATCCTAAATTTAACCCGAAATTCTTGCTTAATTCTAATTCTGATTCGAAATTCTAATATCCTAAATAAATATCCTTAATGCCAGACTATCTTCCAGTTGCTGAAAATCCTCTCTAATGCGAATAAGTGACGGAGTAAGGATGTTTCAATGACTTTTTCTTAGAAATTGAGAAAAAAACCTGCAGTCTGCCTGTTGTGAAATAGTGATGATGGCGAGATAGGAGTAATTACAGGGATAATGACGAAATACGTAATTAAAAGAAGGGAGGGAGGGTCTAGTTGGAGTGGAAAGTGGAGGTATTATCTTCATTGGGAGAGAAATGTACATGCTAAATGAAATGGAGTCGTGGAAGTTCTAAAGACAGCAGAAATGTAGGAGTAAGAGTACATTCAGAGGGGGTAAAATCAGCACATCTAAGACAGCCAAACCTATATATATTTTTTTTTTTCTTTACTTTGTTATTATCCACTTCAAACGGGTGACTTGTTGGGAATTAGGGTTTGAAGGAAGGGGAAGACACGCCCACCTCCATACCTCTTTCTAGGGGCAAGCCGCTAAGCCATCTTCCCCTGGGGTATTCCCATATCAGAGGCAAGTCCTGTACCCCTTTCCCCTGTGGCACTTTCCTCCTGAGATGTCTTCCTGTCAGGGGCAAGACCCTGTACCCTTTCTTCCATGCTTGTATTTAGCTTGTCTTGATTTATCACAATGGAAGTCTTGTCTTTCGAAATCAAATCTTTATTCATTATAATAAGGGCACTATAGTCTTTAACCCAAGCCACCAGGGATGGTATGTACGTACATGCCATGCCCACTATGAGTTTGATTTGTTAATTGTTTTACACATAGATGACTCCTCAAGTACCAAGTCACCAATGAGCCAATTAGGAGGACTACCTGTCTCGTATGTTTACCGTTTTCCATGATTTTCAAAAATATTTTCAGGTACCTGATAGTGCGGTTAGTAATGTCAATAACACTATGATAATTATAAAGTCTAGAATAAATATAACAGCACTGATATTTATGGCATTAGTGAAAGAAGTGTTTTTCCTGCAAACTCAAGGAAAGGTGAAATCTGGTGAGGTCTACTAATTGACTCCTTTGTGGCTAGACTCCAGACATTTCACAAAGCAATAAACATTTTCCAGGGCCTTTGGGTTAACATGACAGCCCTCAAATAGTATATGGCAAATATTCAGAATACCTTCACATGACCAACACAACACTGTGAAGTGAGGAATCCATCTTACTCGGCCAACCACATTTATAGAAATTATGCCGTGGAACCTCACCCATACCCACAGTCTTAGCCCCGATAGCTGGGGAGGGCATGAAAGTACAGCCCCCATTAATCTCCCATATATAGGGCCCCCACCCCCCAATCCCTGCCCTGGACAACCATGAATCCTCTACGTATGTACAGCAGAATAGAGCATAGGACAGACTCAGAATCAGGCTCTCGGAGGCACTGTTATTTCTTGTATACACCCATATATCTATTGCAGTGCAATGTACCCCCTCTGACACTCCTGCT